ACACATAAAAAGGAAAAGAAGAAACAAAAAACAAAAGGAAAAGGAGGGGAGGAGGGGCAAAGGGGACAGTGACACCGCATCAAAGACTTCGGGTCACAAACAAACAAAACAAACAGACAAAAAATAAACGGCCCCCCCCTCCCCCCCCTTTTTTTGTTTGTCGTTTTTTTTTTTTTTTTTTTTCCCTCCTCCCCTCTCAGATTTCTTCTTTTACCAAAATTCAGGCGTCATTTTAGTCGACCGGCCTCGTTTACGCCTATTCGTTGGGCTCGCCGGATGCATGCACCCCGTCTCCTCCCCACTCGTCACCTCTGTGCACCGCAATGTGGCACTCAAACACACAAAACAAAAAAGAGGGTGACTGAGTAAAGAAACACAAAAAGAGAAACTGCACTTCTCCCCTCTCCCCTGTCTCGCCCCCTCTTCCCACACATACATACATACATACAGAAAGAAAAAAACAACAACGACAACAACACATATTCAAATGCAGCTGCACATAAAAGAAGCATAGTAAAGATGCTCTTACTCACATCATCGTCACAAACGTGGTTCAAAGGAAAAAAAAAAGCCCATATACATTTACACATATGCATATATATAAGTGTATATATATACGTGTATATATATAAATGTATATATGCATCGAATTAACCCCCAAAAACGTTCATCTATTTACAATCTTTTTTATGCTTGTACTAGCGTAAATAGTATACATAAATACATCGTTCATATATATATATATATATATATATATATATATATATGTTGATATTTATAATAATATGTATATATATAGATATATATATTTATATCCATGGGCGCTGGGGTGGGACAGGACAAAAGAAAAAAAAAAAAAAACAAGAAAAGTAAAAGAAGCCTCACGCAGACAGACAGACAGACAGACAGACGCACAGATTCCGTAGTATCATGTGATATATATATATATATATATATACCAACAAATTGACATGCGTACTCCCTTTCCTTCCCTTTCCCCCTGAGCCCCCATCTCTCGCTCTCTCTCTCTCTCTCTTTCCCATTTCTTGTTTAACATTTATTTTTCCCTTTGCTAAACTTTTCCTTCCTTTTTCTTTTGTCTCCGTTCCTTTTCTTTGTGTTATTCTCCTTTTATTATTATTATTATTATTTTATTTTACTTTTTTTTTTTTAAATAAATTTATTTAGTACTCCACGCTTCTGCATCTCACGCACCGCACAGTTTCCCTTTTCTTCTCCACTTCCCTTCTTCTTCGTGCTACGTTCGTGTCATCCCTCCCCTTTTTTTTTTTTTTTTTTTCTTTTCTTTTCTTCTTCTCCCTCCTCGTCTCCACATCCATGCGTGCATGTCTCTCCCATACGACTCTGATCCTCCCCTCGAAGACCCGCTCTTCCTCCCCCTAACCCCTCAAAGAAAAAAAAAAAAAAAAAAAAAACCAAAACCCCCCCCCACCAACACGTATAGGGACGTCATGCGTGTCAAACACCAGGCGAAGAAAAGAAAAGAAAGAAATATTAATGGGAACAAATATGTTGTAATGGGGGAGGTGGGGAGGAGAGAGAGAAAAAGAAAAAGACAACAACAACAACAGAGTAACAAACTCCAATGGCATGTGCGTGGGTGGAAAAAGCAAGTTGAAACACCACCACCACCACCACTCTCCTCCCTCCTCAGCCACTTGCTTTCCTCCGTATTTATTTTTCTTTCCACCCGCCGCCACCCATTTCTTTGCTCGATCCTTCTGGGAGGTGACATACGGTGAGAGTACTACGCGTTGCCGTCAGCTTCAGCGATCCTCTTGCGGTGATGGGCATGGTTGCCCTTCCCACCTGAGCCTGGGTGGGCGGTAGAGAGGTTGAAGACAAGATCTTCTGGAGCCTTTACCAGTTCGCGGCGGACCAGGCGCTGCACAATGGGGGCACCGTAAGTGTAACTGCTGATGGGTATGAGGTACTTCTGAATGTTGTCAACCAGGCACCAGAACTGGTCCACATCCGCCGCGTCCAGTACACGCTGAGCAACATAATTGGCAAAGGGATTCTGCATCATGAGACAGAGCATACTTGGTGCCTCTTTGCCGTCTGAATGCACTTCAATCACTGGCCCTCCAGCGCTCTCCTTTTCCCGTTCGCGTTCCTTGTCACGTCGGCCTTTCTTTGCGTATCCGTTACGCTGCTTTTCAGTCTCTTCCTTCTTAACTGGGGGCAAACGCTTGAAGGCCAAGACTTCCACAGGTGCCGTTTCCAGGCCCTCCACGGGGGCGCAGAGCTTCTGAATAAGTTCCATGCGTTGTTCTGGGTCTGCGCGAACAAAGATCTTTTCCATGACATTGGAGGCAAATTTCTGCTTGCTAAACTCGTAGAAATCATCCTTCAACGCATTAAAAACACGAGTCACCTTATTTTCGTCCTTCATATGCTGTAACACATGTTGAATGACGTAGTTTCCATATTGATCTTTTGCCAAGGTATCAACGCATTTTAATATCTCTGAAAAGATGACTTCTTCTTGATCCGGGCAATGTTGCATGATACACTGAATCACACGACAACCATAGGCGTGAGTTGCCAACTCCATCACACGTCCCGTAAAGGCTGACACAATAAACCCACAACGTTGTGGCGTAACTTCCACACACTTTTGCACAACATGATTTCCATTTTGATCTTGAATACACTTCGCCACGTTTCCCTTTAGCTCTGCCAGTATAATATCTAGCCCCTCGGGAGGCATCACCTCAATGCATTTTTGAATCACACGGCAACCGTATGTTTGAAGGGTGAGAGACACCACATTATTTTGCAATCGCGTCGCTGCATGTGCCAGCTGACGTGCATTACCTACTTCAAGAAGTTTTTGCAACACATAATTGCCAAATATGTCTGTCACAAGGACCAGAGGGGATTCGAAGATTTCATGGAAGAGAGCGTCCACCTCATCATGGGTCGCACTCTCCACAGCTCTCTGGATAAATCGGCTACCTTCCTGATCCTGCGCAAACTCTACAGCGTAGCCCAAGATATGAGAAATGCGCCAATGGCTGATTGTGCCGTTCATAGCATCTACACGGAATTCTTCCAGACGCGCAGAGCGTGGTTGAAGCGGCTCGCTGTAGGGAACGCCACGACCTGACGGCTTCACACCAGCGGGATTCCATTTTCCACTGCTCGCCCCGCGGCCTCTCCCCCCACTTCCAGCGCCACCCCGTCTACCACGACCGCCTGCACCCTGCATCATACCCGGGTTATTAGCAGATCCCATCGCCACAAATGCGGGCTGCACATGCGTCGCATCAGGCATACTAGCCACAGCTGCGTTGTAATAACCAGTTACGGCGGAGTCAGTGTAATAATCAAATGGATTCATAGGTTCTTGTGTATAGTATTGCTGGTTCAGAGTTGGTAACGCATTTGTTCCCCCGCAAAAATCTGCCGTGGAATTCCATTCAGTGTAGAGAGGCTGGGTCGCCACGGGAGGGACGGCTTGCGGCACATCACGCTCATTATTATTGCTAGCACTGCTATTCTGCGCACCCATGCGAGAGTGAGCGTAGGCACGTAAAGTATTCGGCGTGGCCATAGTCGCTAACGGTGTTGGCGCATAAGCTCCAAAAAACTGCGTCCCCGGGCTCAGCATATTGTCATGTTGAAACCCAGCTGCGTAGGGGTTAAAAGAGTGTTGCTCGTTGGATTGCTGCAGGTTTTTCGCGTCCAGCTCTAAGCGAATGGCTCCCTTTCCAGTTTCCAACACTCCCCCTCCAGGCAAATTCATTCGCCCCGTCATACGTACTGTGGAGGTGCCCTCCCATGGCTCCTCAATAATATCCGTTGTGTTCTGGCGGGCATCTGTCAGTGGTGGGGGCAGCTGGCTTTCATGCAACCTCTTGCTGTTGTACCATCGCATGTACGCCACTGAGCGACGCATGTCTTCTGTAGGCTGTTTTCCTTCATGGAGAAGAAGCTCAAAATCCAATGCTGTATAGCGTGACCATGACGCTGATGAAGGCTGTTGCTGTGATCCCGGTTGGAGACCGCCAATAAACGGTTGCAACCGCTGTCGCTCCACGGTTCCGGCAAAGTTTCCGCGCATATGCGGTGCAAATGCCAGGGCAGAGCCAGTACCCATTCCATATTCACCGCTTGTATTCATCGATGGCATAGACTGTTGTTGTTGTTGTTGTTGCTGCTGCTGCTTTTGCACACGTTCGTCATCCTCATCCCAGGAGCGTTCTGCCACACCTAACGAGAACATATCGCTGCCTGAGTGTGTTTGTCTTCCTCTCTGTCCGTCCTTACAAATAATTGGATAAAATTTTGATCGTGAGTGTGTATCCGTATGCACTAGAGTCCAATAGATATCCCCTTTACAGCACAGGCATCAATTAAGAAAAGGATTAAGAAAAACAAAAAACAAAAAAAAAAAAAAAAACACATAAGCACGCATATATTGTAAGGAAAAGTATCAACAGGTCGCCAATCAAAGACTCACTGACCAACACATACAACAACAACAAATTTTTTACCATCCCCCGAACCGTTCCTCACATCCTTCTTATTTGCTCCACGTAAATATATTCTGATAGAACAGAACGCGACACAGCGCGCTTCATTCAAATTGTACAAATCTGTAACTTAAGGAGTGGCACACTTTGGGCTCTTCCAGCCACAAAAACCCCGCTGCAAGGGTGGGAATCGAAGCGGGTGGGTGGGACAACAAAAGAACTAAAAAAATCGTCCAGGCGTCATTGGTTCCCTGATTCCTTTAGTCGCGGTCAGTCAAAAGTCCATAAAATAGGGACGAACAGTCGTACAGAAATATATCTCCGTTTCATCAGGACACATATACATTAGGGACGCCAGCTTGCCCGCGAACATTCTCTTCACAAGCTTCTAATAAAACAAAGACATATTTCTGTGCTATTCCCTCCTATCGCTTCGAGTTCCTTTATTAGACAGCGATGGAAGGAATCAAGGAACCGATAACGTCAGTACGGTTTTTTTAGTTTTTTGTTGTCCCACCCACCCGCTTCGATTCCCACCCTTGCAGCGGGGTTTTTGTGGCTGGAAGAGCCCAAAGTGCGCCACTTCGCAAGCTATAAATACATATGCATCCAGTCCGAATAGAGCGTTCATCATGTCGCGAGAGTGGGGCCACCAGAATGTATGAATAAATACATACGCGGAGCAAACAACGAGGATTTGGCGAACCCACTGTCTCTCCATTGACTCATTCTTCTCCTCCGTCGTATTTTATTTGTATGGAAAAGTTTGTTGTCCGGTCAGCAGCCCAGGCAAACATTCCTTCCCTTCCTCTTCCTGTTTGCGTGTGTGCCACAGGCACGGTTTGATTCAAGTGGCATTGTCGCCTCCACGCAATCGCATCCTTCTGTTGCCGCATTTGCGGAGCCAATGGGCTTGGGCATCCAGAGCACACACACACACACACGGCCGCAACAAGAGGGACGGGGCGCATCCAAGTCCACGGCGCAGTCCTTCACTTCTCTCCGCCGCGACGGAATAGCGCTGCGCCTCGCAGCAGGTCGTGGCGGGTGGCGTCCCACACTCACAAATGAGGCACGGCGCACGCCACCCGCTCCCCTCCGAGTGCAGTCAGCAGGCCGGCACCCAGTCACCCCAGTGCCATCGCAAAGGGGGAACACAAACAATCGTCGTCGCGGACCATCGGTGTCCCTAGCAGGAAAGAAAGAAGAAGAAATGGGGGCGTGTCAGCAGCACAGCCGGCAGAGGGACAATCAACAGGACACGGAGACACAAAGTGACATGGGACACGGCACAGACGAAACAGAGACTGTAGTGATTTACCAAAACAAAAAGAAAAAGAAATGAAAAAAGAAAAAAAAGTAAAAGTAAAAAAAAGCAAAAGAAAAAACAATTGACTCGGCAGATATGTCATTTCATGTGCCACGCAGCACAATGCAACCGTGTTTTTGAGTTCATACATACTGCCTGCACGCACACAAATAAAAAAGGAATTGTACTCTCCCACCAGCCCACACAACATCCCTCACATTCCATGCGGCATCCGGCCTGCTCCTCCACTCCTCCTTTCGTGCAGTCCGTGGGACGCACGGCAATGAGGCCGGCACCGCGTGTGGACAAAAAAAAGCAAACAAAAGAGGGAGAAACACGTCACGCATGATGGTTTGTAGCAAGCGACCGTTTGGGGGGAAAAACACGCAAACAGGGGTGCTTATTATTTCAGCAGAGCACCAGCAAGAAAAAACACCAAAAACAAAAAACAGGAAAAAAAACAGAAAAAACAGGAGAAAAAAAAACAAAAAAAAAAAAAAAAAAAAAAAGGAAAAATAAAAGGAGAAGAAAAGAAAAAAGAGAAGAAAAGAAAAAGAAAAGAAAAAAACGAAGGTATCCTTGACAAAACTCATTGAGTACTGCTGGGATGCCGCTCAGTTGTTGCTCCACAGAATTTTGCAATTTTTCTCTCCCCAAATTTATTCAACAAAGAGCCGCAATGCCCCACAGCCCCAGAAGCAGCAGCAACAGCACCCGAGACACACACCCATGCACGGTGCTCTCAGCAAATAGAGCCATGGCCGACAACTCGCCCAAATGCGCGTGCTCAAGCAAAATGCCAGTGTCCGAGGGTATTGTTGCGTTGGACCCCGATGGGATCTTGGTCTCCCCAGGCGTGGTGTTTGTGTTGCCCGATGCGGTGTCGACCGTCTGTGGCACTTCCTTGACGTCTTCAGAAGAAGATTCTTCTCCTTCAGTCCGAGAGATGTCGTCGGTGTTCTCCGCGGATGTTGTTTCGGCGTCAGTCTTTGAAGGAGTGAGGCTGCTGTCTGAGTTCATTGTTCTCTCGGAACTTCTGTCCCTCGCCTCGAGGCTGAAACTTTGCTCCATGCCGGTGGTTCTGGTTCCAGTGGACTGCACGTTTTTGTTTTCAGCGGAAAGCTCAACGCTTTGTTGCACTTGGTGCTCACCGTCAGCTGGTGCAGCAACCGTGTCCATATCCGACGATACAGCCACTGAGGACGTTGTTCCGCTACTCCTGTCATTTGCCTCTCCCTCCTCCTCTGGTTGTTCTGTATCATTACTTTCAGAGGATCCTTTGACATCATTGAACTCCGTTAATTCCTCTGCCTGTAGGTCTTGTGTCTGCACATCTGAACCCCGCTGCATCGATTCATTGCCTTCATTCGGCGTGGCTTGCTGGGCCGTTCTGCCTTCGGAAAGCTGGGCATTGTCCTCTGGAAGAGAATTCCCTGCGATCTCCGCTGCGGTGGCGGGTTTAGGAACAGATGATCCCGCGGCAACCGTGGAAGGGGGCGCTGCAGGCACTGGATTATGGACGCTTTCTTCCTCTTGTTTATCAGTATCATCCTCAGTCAATTTCTCATGGCTGGTGGCGCTTTCTTCACTCCTTGACTCGGAAGCAACCGAAGCGTCTGTCCCGGCCACCTGTCCTGTGGACTGTTTCTCAACACCCAGTGATGGAATAGTGACTTTGCTGTCTGGGAGTTCATCCAGATCATCTTCAGACAGTTCCTCGTTGTACAGCATGACGTTGGTCACCGTCACGTGGCCACCCGTTGCACTTTGGTGCTTACTGTCCCCACCGATGTAAAAGTGTGAAATCCTGTGCAAGTCAAACAGACTCGTATTGTATTCCGTGTTGTGGATTTCCTCTCCGTCTACAAAGACAGTCCATTCATAATAATCCATTCGCAGTACCACCTGATATGTCTTGTTTGGCTCCCACTCATCATCATCATCTTCAAAATCTTCATAGCCTTCGGAAGCTTCATTATGAGGTGTGAACCCCCACTTTCTTTCGTGGGTGTACGACAGACCAAAGAGCACCGTGCCGTCGGTGTCATTCATTCTCACACCCATCAAAGGGATGCTGCTACTCTGCGGCACCTCGTGGATGGACACCGTCGCCACAAGAGTGAACTTGTTGTTCGCAAAGTAGTACGGCACAGTCTGCCCCATGTCGCCAACAGGCCACACCGCCCCTGCTCCGGGTCCTCTGAACGTCAATCCATTGGGAACCCTTCTCTCCCCATTCGTCACTGTTGCATTCACGCCGAGGTACTCGTCCCTCCATGTGTTTTCAGAGAAGTTACCGGACAAGAAGCCAACAAGCTCGTCAGTGGGAACAGGACCATTGCACGTACCCTTCGTTGGCAAGTCAACAGTGCCTCTGGAACCGGAACGGCATGATTGCAAGGCGCTGTCCAAATCCTTCCACGTCTTCACCACTTCCTTTATCCGCTCCAGCTGCTTCCCCAGGCTCACGGCGACAAGACTGTATGACCCGTCATCACCCTTCTTGTTCTCGTACACTGAGATCAACTTTTCATTCCCACTCTTCATCAACAGGGAGCTCGCGGCAGCGTCATCATCCTCACGGGATATCGGCCCAACATCATACACACGCGCCTTGTCCGTCACCCAAAGATGAAGCCGACCTTTTCCACCTTCATTGTCCTTCGCATACACCGGCGCGGTGATGAGCATCACCTCCTTTTCCTCAATGATTGCGGTGGTGGATCCACTCTGGACACCGTGCCCCTTTCGATTGTGTGAGCTGCCCCACACGCGGTTAATTGGCTCACCCAAAGTATTCCAATTGACTCCATCCGAGGTGGAACTGTAAACGTCATAGTAGCCTCCAGCACAATGAGCCATCATGAAGAGTTCCTCGCCGTATTTGTTTTCTTTCCACTTCACCAGGGTTGGATCCCTGCAGCCCTTACCAGTCGCCGTGTATGAAAGCTCCCATTTTTTGTCTGACGGGTTAAAACTCATGGACAGTAAAGCGCGCTCCTCATCACTGTTTTTGGCCTGCATGGGAAAAACAATCGTGCCGTCACGCATCACAGCACCCGATCCTCCACCGCCAATTAACTCGGTCAAGGAAACAGATTCTCTTTTTCCTTGAGGGTTCACCACATGGGTCTCATTCCATTTGATTTTCTTGGTCCCACCCTCATCAGCGAGAGTTCCCTTCACGAGTAAAAGGCCTGGCTCATTCTTACCTTCAACCTGCGGCTTTGTATGGCTGTAGTTTCCAAGGAGCACGTAAACACTGTCCTCAATTACAAGTGTCGTTGGTCGCTTTATGCCGTTCGTGGTGTGGAGGCCCTCAGACCCTTCCTTTAGAGGATCTGCGCCAAAGACAACTGGATCCGACGTCGAGATCTCGGTTGGACCAGCATCAACATTTAAACCAAGGTACTTTGACGCAATCCCAGTAAAGCTGAATTTGCTGCACTTGCCTCCATCCTTGCAATGGGCTTCAGCAATAGCAAATACATGACCCTGCACCTCAACGAGACTGGGACCACGAATCGAGCCATACTTACCACCAGCGTCAGAAACATCCTCCCAGTTGTCAAGCTTTTCCCATCTGATCCCCCTCAATGCATCAACTGCTTTCTTTACATTGCCCTCCCCAGCAGAAGCAGTTCCACCAATCCCACAGCACGTCATCACGAAAAGAAGAAGCAGCACCGCGGAAGCAAACACACGCCGGGACATGTTGGGCCTCTGCGGCTCACACTCTCTTCCTTCCCTCCTCCTTCCGCTGGATCCGGTCACGCGGCGACGGTCGTGTGTGCGGGGTGCCGTCACCGCAGCAACACGCGAGAGCATACAAATATATGTGTGTGGGCGGTGTGTGTGTGTGCTGTTGGTCCTTTCAGAGCCTTCAAATTACAGAGTAGCGAGTAGCGCTTGTTTGCTTTCCTTCCTAGCGTGTGTGTTCAAGAGGCGGAGAGGAGCACAGCGACAGCGGCAACACATCAGACACGTCCGTGGGGAGCAGAGGAGAGCACCCACGCGGAGAGCGGAGCACGAGACAAACAACAGTCTCAGGAAAACCACCGCCCACAGAAACGAGCAGCAACACGGCGGAGCCCAACACACACACGGTGCGAGGAGGGCACAGACCCTCTCACAGTCACCGCACCCACTTGCTCCGCACCGGCCACCACGGCCATCACGGCGGGCCGTCGGTGTGTGCGGGCCAGCCCTCCCGCAGTGCAACACGCCTCACACCCAACAGGGAAAGAAAGACAGACACACAGTGAGAGAGATGGACGGATGCCGTCAAGAGGCACTCACGATCCACACGGCGCGTGAGCATGCGGCCACATCCCCGCAGCCGACACACAGCGCACCCCGAGCGAGCAATCACCCCACAAGCTACACGCGGAAGTGGTGCCTCATCCATCCATGACGCGGCACACAAAATTTCACTGCCATCCAGCACCCAATGGGAAGTGGTGCGTCACTCCACGCGGCGACAGAAAGTGAATATTCACTGGGCCGCTTTCCTCATCCTGAAGTTACCAACAATAGAAGTCAAACAGGACGGGAATGAGAAGTAGATGAAAACAAGTGGGTTCACCACAACCTCAAAGTTTACACCAAGTAAGAGTGTGTGTATAAATACCACACGATGAACACAGTTGTGGCCCGCTCACTCCATTCGGATTCGATATATCTACTTTTATACGTTACGAAGTGGAAGAATTGGGGATCCTCCAGCCACAAGAAACCGCCGCTACCCTTCGCAAGTTCCACTCCTTCGCCAGGTCCTCGTATGTGAACACGCGACCGCGTGACACGCCATCTGCGGGGGTTTCCGCAGACCGTACGTAGGCAAAGTTTTTCTGTGCTCCGCGGGAGTCCAAAAGCCCTTGTATCCATTGCAGCTCACACGTCATGGCGTGCTATTTTGAGCTGCATTTATTCGCCGCTCCTCGCAGCGAAGTGCTGTGCGCCCCAACGTCCATGGTGGGTGGCAAGATGGCGGAAAGAGCCGATAAGGCTAAGCGTACCACGCGCGCCTCGGCCTGCATGATAAGAAAAGGCTTCCTCTCCCATTTCCCTCCGGCAATTTCAACGTCGCCGGGGTCTGGAATAAAAACGGCTCCCCATCCATGGAGCGATGCACCCGTGATGATGGCGGCCGATGCCTTTTCCGTGGGCTTGATGATTCGCTTACGATTATATTCTCGATCATATGTCGTAATCTCTCGCCCAAACCAACCGCTGCAGGTGAAAGATTCGCCGGGGATGTCTCCAGCACAATCCCTTGGTTAAGTGCCAATCATCGCCTTTGCACTGCCGTGATGAGAAAGTAGTAGGCACACAGGCGCCTGCCCAAAATGGCCGCCGCATATAAAAAGCGTGACGCCATAACCTCCATTTCCGCGATGGTTAAAGAATTGAGTGCCGGCAAGGCGCGTACAGACCGGAAAAACTTCTCACTCAGTGATACCGCACGGTGAGTGTGATCGAACTGCACCCCCAGAAAGGTGCACTGCGCAGCGCTCGATTCGCGATCCTCCCCCATCGTGGCGTGACGGCCGGCCGCATTACGAAGCACTTGGCTTCCCACAATGTCACATCGCTTTTCGACCCTGCAATGCGTATATTGTCGGTCCAAACGTCGACACGCAGCAATGGAGGTGCAGTCCAGAGAGGGTGAACCACCGTCGTCACCACCGCAATTGCCGAGGTAATAATAATCTGGAGAATTTCTGGGCTGGCCTTGCATCCCATTGGGAGCCGTGTAAGCTCCACCAGCGTGCCGTCCTCCACGCGGCATCAAAAGAGATGCCGTGTCTTCCGCGGTAAAAGGAGTTTGAAAAGGGATGCCTTTAAACCCAGGCATGAAGCGGCCTCGGCCAACACAGGCGGCAAACAACGGGAAATGTGCAAAAGAGGAGCATGAGCCTCATAAGGGTCGTCTCTGTTCTTGTCGCGTGGCCACGCGATTCATTGTCGCAATAAACCGGTGATTTCTCCTCCACAACCGAAAAAGGGGCATTATCCATCCGCCTGTTGCTGCAGACGAAGCGTCCTCGATTATTCCCGCTTCCCTCTATAATCGCGCGTCATCGACTGGAATCCTCCGTGAGCGTCCGCGCGCTTTACCGGAGAAGGATAGAGGGAAAGGGAACCGCCCAACGAGTCCCCATGCTTGCACGACTCTCTCCAAGGTAGCCGGGTTCAACCGGCCCCTGATCCGCTCTGGGTTCAATACGGGCACGTTGACTTGTTGCTGTAGCGGGACGGTTCGTTCATCTTGTGGAGTGGCCAGACGCGTCCTTGTCGCGCGTCTCGCTATTGTAGCAGCATGATGATAAAGATCATGAAAAAACGCTCCGCTGCTCTCAGCCAGGGCCTCTGCACTTCCGCAGCTTCTCCCTTTACAAAAATGCGACCAGTGACGACACCTGGGCCAGCAGTGTTGTGTACCTCCCCAAATATCGCACTGTGTTCTGGGGAAGGTCGAACGGGTCGAAGTGCTTCGCCAACTGCGAGATCACGTGTGGGTCAAAATTGTACGTCTCCACAATTTGAGCAGCGTGCCGCAACGCACCCCGTTTTGTGGGATGCGCCGATGCATTCCAAGAGGTCAGAGCTCGCCCCACGTGGGCGGTCGTAATATTCGTGAGCTTTTCGTTGTGTTGAAGTGCCCTGCATAAATTTATGGTGTCGAACGCATCCTGCCCTCGTGTCCTCACGAACCGCGAGGCGCGGTGGGGATCCGCCCTCGCCGTCTTCGGCGCCACGGACCAATCAAAAATTACGGTCCCGTCCGGCTCCAGTGTGACATTGTTGGGAGTCAAGGCCGCAATCCCGGACCAACGACTCGCCGTTATCCACGCAAGTCGAAAAACAACACGTTCCCTCCAATCGGCTCGGCCGCGGATAATTTCATCCCTCTCTTCCTCTGTCAAGGGGCGCGCCTGCTTCGTCTCGGATCGCGCCGCAATTCTTCGTGACCCCAGAATCACCATGTCCAGCGGGGTTGAATTCATTCCCAGTATGGACTGCAGCATCCTGGCGTACTGCTGTCGGGTCGATGGCGCCATATCCAATATTGCCACCAAAAAGGCCGCGCAGCTCTCCTCGTTCATCGGCTGTTCGTGCGTGCAGCAAAGCACCGAAAATCGAAAATTGCCCCACTAGTGACATTCTCTGCTCCTTCCTTTGCAGCGCACACATTTCTCAAGCCACCTCGTTCGCGCTCCTCATATGGCGGACCCAAAGCGGAGATGTCGGTGATTCTTCGTACCACAGTCGAGCGTCGTTGGCGGATAAGCTCCATTGCCCTTGTCGACGATTGCGTCGGGCGATTTGAGAGATCGGGTGGAGCATCGGCGGTGCGGTGCGACTCCATGTAGGAAGGGATGGGGCTGGTTTCTTCCGCCTTCATAAGCGGCCGGCAGCCCCTCGCCGTTTTTTGGCGGCCGCCCGTGCTGCAAGTCATTTCTTCTGGCTGCGCTGCGCACGTTGCATGTAGATGCGTCGTGTCCACAAATACGACACAATCGGCATCGCAACAGTCGTCGTTGTTGTTGTTGTTGTTGTTGGGTGGCTCGCCGTTACACGAGAGGCTGGGTTGCCCTCGCGAGGGTGTCAGCCCCGTGAACAGCCATGTGAAGACGGTCGCGAAGTTTGGAGAGCGGGATGCCGGGGTCGGATGCAATCGTGAGCTGCATCCGGAAGGTCCGCAGTAGGACCCTGCCAAAATCCATGAGCTGATCGGTGGGATCCCGATCTATCTCCAGTGCGCGCCTGCACGATACCAAACCGTCAAAGGCAACTTGAACCTGAGCGTCCGCCTGGTGCCAATAATAACTGTATGTGCATCGGGGGTCGACGAGGAGGACACCGGAGATGCCCTCATTCCATACACGCGGGACCCAAGTGGTGACGTCGAATGCAAGAAAATGCAGTAACTGAATCTCTGGACCGGAGTCATCTTCCAAGGATGAAGTGCGGGAGGGCAAAGGCATCGAGTGAGGGAGATGTGGTCTCCCCACATTGCCCTGAGACGTTTGGGTGTTGACCCGCCGTCTCTCTCCCGTGAGAGTGCGTTGGGGAAACGTGGATGCTGGCACGCCCCCAGCCATCAAACGATGCGGTTGGTGTGGCCGTGTGTTGATGCCATCGTCGCGCATGCATGCGTGGGGGCTCATCTGGCGGCCCTCTCCGAGAGGTGGGCGCTTCTCGTTGGCACGGCGTCTCCGTCCCGCAAGAAGACCGCCGGCCACCGCAATGTGACATTCGCGCGCCGAGAAGTAATTATGCGCCTCTTCCACCTGCGAGTAAAGCTGCGCACGCCGATTCCGAGCGTCGGCGATGGCGTTGGCGTGGTCGGTGCTCAGTCTCCGCCCTTCCAGCAATGGTCAGCCCTTGCTGGACCCCCAACCCCCGGGCAGCCCGCACACGATGGGCAGGAGCAATTGAGCCTCGAAATTTGGTACTTGAGGCGTCCGGAGACTCGCAATACGTCCCGCAATACTTCGTATCCTCCCTGTGCTTGGCGATGGTTCCTGAAACCAAGCGTAGGCCAGTCATTGTTGCAGCGACGGCTACCACCGGCATCCAACGGTCCGTGTTCATCAACGAAGGCGAGCTGCACCCGGACATCGCCGTACTGGCGTACCAAGTCCAACAGGCGGGCTCCAATGTCGTTCCACTCCGTCGCCGTGTAAAAGAAACCACTGTCATTTCCTTCAACCAGCTTGCAGGGATACCG